GTATGACAGAAGCACTTCCATTACTTTGCATAGCTTATAACTCTTCTTTTAAATTACCTCTCTGAGTTGACATTTCTCTTAGGTATAATCCACCCTAAGATTAAATTTGGTTAGCCCCTTCATAGTTCAGAATTTAAACTAGTTAAAAACCTTTATGCACTTCTTTATACTCAAGATAACGTAGGCCTTGTTAATTTCATCTTTAAGAACCCCTCAGAGATTTTGTAGGGACTTTAGCAATAAATTTAGAAAACAATTTTGGTTATAATATGCAGTATTTTCATGAATAAAAATATGGCACTTCTGAAAAAAAATATGGCACTTCTGAGATATTCTAAAAGGAATCTAATTTAGTGTCTGGAGTTTAAAGTCATTTTCTCAACTGTGGACCTTACAAGGGCAGTTCATTGGGAGTCTGTGTACCCATTGTGGATCAATGTAGAGGGTGTCCTGCATCCAAACACCTACTTCTGTCTTTCAGGCAGTCTTTCTAGCCTACTACCCTGTCCGGTAGGTCAACCAAACCAGTGGTTCTCAAAACTTGGAAGAGTTAAAGGAATCACCTGGGTAGTTTTGAAAAATTTACATTCTCAGACTCCAGCCACAGAAATTCTGAATTGGTAAATGAAGGAGATGTGACGCTGGTCATGGGACCTCTCTTTCTGGCCCCTGTCCTGTCCTTAACAGTTTGGTGACCATACCGATGTACCTATGATATACCCCATATAAAACAACACTTAAAACAGTAGCAGAACAGTGTGCCTAGACTGGGAGAAGAAAGAGGCCACACCGAGGCCACAGACACAGCTGCAGGCTGAAGTAGAGACTTTATAAGAATACCCAAATGCTGGACTGGAGACAGATGCATAGGCTACTCCTCTGCTATTATTCCACAAACTTTCAAGCCAGTTTCCAACTCAGGACACTCTTTTTTCCCCATGTCTGTCATGTGGCTGTGTGTGTGTGTGTGTGTGTGTGTGTGTGTGTGTGTGTGTGCTGGGTGGTGCTCTCTCTTCCTTTCTTTAGTTTATTATAGCCAGTTAAATAGAAAATGAGAGAGAGAGAGAGAGATGCAAAAATAGAGATATAGGTATACTTTTGGCAAAGTTCAAGACAGAAAAGAAAGATATTTAGCAGTAAACAAGAGAATACTTACTGAAAAAAATATGTGAAGTAGTTCCTGGTGGGTGGGGAATAGCAGTATTTTTTTCTTAGATCTTTTGAAGATAACTTAGTACTCTCGTATTTCAGTTTCCCAAGTAAATGGCTTTATTTATAAAGACTGATAGCATCATCATTGAAGATGATCAGTCATTAAAAAGTCAGTCTTGTAATGGGAATCCCCTGTTGTTCATTCTCAATTAAGCCAAGGAAGTCCTGAATAATTATCATTGACTCAACAAATATTTATTGATGTGGATGCTAACCTCATGGGGCTTACGGCGGGAAGGGGGTACAGATGAATAAAGACAGTGACACGGCTAAGTAGCAAGTGCTGTGATGGGGAGGCCCAGAAGAAGAAGAGGAGCACCAAAGCCACTCTATTCACCCAATCTTGGGGAGTGCAGGAAGGCTTCAGGAGGACAGGAGATCTCAAGTTGCATTGTGAAGGGGAAAAAGGTGCTAACCAAAAGTGGCCAAGGAATCGAATGTGCTAAGACCCGGGTATAAGAAAGCATGACCACTATCTGGAGACCTGAGCATGGTCCTCAATGCCTACACTATCTACAGCTGGCAAGTGATGGGGCTGGGGAGTTTTAATTGGTGGCCAGATCATGAAGGACCTTATACATCATATGGAGAAGTTCCAAAGTTATATTTGGGTTGTCTGTTTCATATGTAGCTTTTATATTTAGCTACCTTTGTCTTCTTTCTATCACAGACATCACAATAGCATAAGAAGTATTGCCATTCTGTTTGTTACAAATAATGAAGAACTTTGAAAGTGGCACGTGTATAGAAAAGGGTTAACATGGAAGGCTTTTGTCCATAGAAAGTCTTACTTTCAAGGTTGGCCCTTGGCTGGTCCCACCCTGATAGAAACTTTCCTTAACAAGTAAGGTTGGCTCACTGTATCTAAACTATGCAAACAATATGGTTTATCTTGGAATTTTGATACAGGCTAGCAGGCCAACTCCCAGTAAAACCCTTCAGTGAGTAAAGGCCTTCCATAGGCAGAAACATCACATACATGTTACTTTATTTTCATAAGTCGGGGAAGAATGAGCTCTGATCCATCATGAGAAGGAAAAAACACAAGAAAGCTGCAGTCATATTCCTTCATACCCCACCTGTCTTTCCCCATTATGATCCACTGTATATCCTTACCGCATCACTGTGATAATGCTTAGCCATAAGTACAACTCTATGCTAAGTCCCATGAGCCCTTCCTATGAATTTCCTAACACAGAGGAAGTCTTGAGGCTCCCCAATACACCTGCTAGGACTGTTTACCTAGAGTTATTTATTAGATGAGGACAAAATGTGAGCTATCAAATGTAGAAGTAACAGTTTCCTTATTTTGTTTTTGTATAGTATTTTTTTAAAACCCAAACTCTTCTAACACAGTTTGACCTCTCATCATTATTTCTCAAATTCGGCTCTGAGTTACCTTTGACTTTTACTTTCAAATGACAGAAACACGTTAGCTTTTAGGAGAGTGAAAGAAAGCTACTGGATCTAAGGGTAATTTTTAATCAAGAGATCCAGAAAGGATTTGAAGTCTTTGGAATAGTTATAGTGTCCCAAGGTGACTTTTTTTTTCCTTTTTCTCTATCTCTCTTTTTAAGATTTTTTTTTATTATTATTTGCAAGAGAGAGAGTGAGAGTGTGCAGGAGAGGGGAGAGGGTCAGAGGGAGAAGCATACTCCCCGCTGAGCTGGGAGCCCGACACAGGACTCCATCCAGGGACTCTGGGATCATGACCTGAGCCAAAGGCAGTCACTTAACCAAGCCACCAGACCTCCTTTCCTTTCTCTTCTAACAGGTGAGGATGTATTTGATTGGGCAGCTTCTGATATACTCATAGTCACCCACAGTGTTATGGTGTAGCACCATAGTACAGACAGCCTCTCTGGCCATGTTAAAGATGCATTAGTATTTATAGAATACCAGCCATGAACCAGATACTTTTATATATTTTTTATTGGGAAATTCCACTCAAGTCTTACTTGAAAAGAACTTCTTTTTAAACCATTAAAAGAAGTCCTGAAATAACTTATGACCATCCAGGAAATCCTTGGATTTCTTACAGGCTTATCTTCAATTCGGTAAATTCCTTGGAGCTCTGCCCTCTCTTATGGAGTAACTGGTAGTGGTCTGCCACTCAGTTGAGCCGCTCCCCCCACCCCCCCCACCCCTGCCCTTAGGCAGGCTTTCTGTTTCCATCATCTTTGTCTCCCTTCAGACTGTGGTAAGACTGTCAACATGGCGGGCGTAGGACTCCCTGCTTTCTATTTGACCTTGTAGCCCTTCATAGAAGACTTTTTTGGGGTCTAGTAGGTAAACAGTGCTACTTCCACAGCACAGCTGGGCTTGTTTTTGATCTTTATTTCTCATCTAATTGGAGAGGATTTACAGTTCATAAATGGACTCCGATATAGAAGGTCCCTGGAGTTAGTATATGGCAACAGAGTGATTTCCCAGCAACGTGCAGTTTTACAAGGATAGCTTTCTTCATAAGGCTATTTACGTTGTGTCTGCTCCCACTTTATTGCCTTTCCGTCCTTTATTTTTTCTCCTTTATCCTCTCACTTACCACGTTGTCAGACTTCTCCCTGCAGCTGGCTATAAATACTTAATACTTAACTGCACTTACAGAACAAAGTTTTGTATTTATTGTTCATAATTTCCAATGCAAATGAAACATTTTTATTATATTTCTCTGTTTACAGTAACTCCATGGAAATGTTTCTTATTCATGGGAGCCTAGATTTTGTTGTTGTTATTGTTTGTTATTGTTGTTTTTTGTTATGTTTGAGCAGGGGGATAATTTTGTTTGACTTGGTTTTGCCCTTCTGATCCAATAGCTGTAATGGGAAGTGGATTTTCTATTGCTGGTATAAGTCTGCTTAGTATCAGTTGCCAACAAAAATTCAGTAATAATCAAATTGGAGGTGATTTATGCTGCCCTTTGTATTTAGAGGCCTGCTTAATGAGGTATGTGAGTGTTGCAAGATTTGCTGGTGCAGCCTCTACACTGTGTCCTTTGATATATATATATTTTTTAATTTAATTTTTTTCAGTGTTCCAAAATTCATTGTTTATGCACCACACCCAGTGCTCCATGCAATACGTGCCCTCCATAATACCCACCACCAGGCTCACCCAACCTCCCACCCTCCTCCCCTCCAAAACCCTCAGTTTGTTTCTCAGAGTCCACAGTCTCTCATGGTTCATCTCCCCCTCCAATTTTCCCCAATTCCCTTCTCCTCTCCCTCTCCCAGTGTCCTCCGTGTTATTCCTTATACTCCACAAATAAGTGAAACCATATAATTGACTCTCTCTGCTTGACTTATTTCACTCAGCATAATCTCTTCCAGTCCCGTCCATATGGATATAAAAGTTGAGTATTCATCCTTCTGATGGAGGCATAATACTTCGTTGTATATATGGACCATATCTTCTTTATCCATTCGTCCGTTGGAGGGCATCTTGGTTCTTTCCACAGTTTGGCAACCGTGGCCATTGCTGCTATGAACACTGGGGTACCTATGGCCCTTCTTTTCACTACATCTGTATCTTTGGGGTAAATACCCAGTAGTGCAATTGCAGGGTCATAGGGAAGCTCTATTTTTAATTTCTTAAGGAATCTCCACACTGTGTTCCAAAGTGGCTGCCCCAACTTGCATTCCCACCAACAGTGTAAGATGGTTCCCTTTCTCCACATCCTCTTCAACACATGTTGTTTCCTGTCTTGTTAATGTTGGCCGTTCTAACTGGTATGAGGTGGAATCTCAATGTGGTTTTGATTTGAATCTCCCTGATGGTTTCTATTCTAGTTTTCCAGAGAGATGGTCATTCAGAGCCTACACATCTGTTCTGTATTTTGAACCTTGGATGAGAATATTCATTCAAGCCAAAAGAGTTAAAACAAAACATCTATGTTACTGCCTCTACAGACCCAGGTAACTCACCTTCTTTCAATTAAGTTCATAGAGTTTTTATTTATAAAATCAATATGCCCCTCTCCCTCAACTTGTCAAAGCGATTTGATAGTAAGAATCTTAAAATTTGATAGTAAGGCTTATAAATGAAATTCAGACTGCTTCTGAAGGGTTTGCTGAAGAGTAATCATGTATAACAAATATTTTGCCATAATATTTGCCATAATAACAATACACTGCTGTGAACACTCTGAAGTTAGAGAATCATTCCAAGGATGATTTCATTTTTTACTCTGTTGCATCTTAGGTGCTTTGATTATGATGTTCATTAAACAAATCACAGTTCATTTATATGTTCTGTTTACACAGATATTTGAACTATTAAATCACATATATGTGTATGTATATTTTATATGTATAATGAACATACTTACAAATTTGGTTCACTTGTATTTTAGTGTAAACTTTTTTATACCATATAACTTATTATACCATAATAACTTATTGTAACCATAATAACTTATTGTAACCATAATAACTTATTATACCCATATAACCCAAATAACTTATTATAACCATAATAACTTATTATACCATAAACTTATTATACCATAACAAGTCTAGTTAACACACATAACCACACATAGATTAAATTTTTCTTGTGATGAGAACTTTTAAGATCTCTCTTAGAAACTTTCAAATATGCAACACAGTATTGTTAACTGTGCTATGCATTACATCCCCAGGACTTATTTTGTAACTGGAAGTTTGTACCAGCATGAACTTTTTTTAAGATGACATTTGCGCATTACAAAATTCATCTTGCCCACTTACACATGCAGTCAGAACAGTCTTTGTGTGTGTTGTTTCTGGATGGTCATTCATTTACTCACCAAAACATTTATCAGAGTCTCCTATTCATCCTAAGATTGTGCTAGGTTCAAAGCATAAAAATGATTAGTTCTAGTTTTGAGGAGCTTAATATCTTCTGGGAGAAGCATTTAATGCTTGTATGCTTTTGATATATATATATATGTCTTATTACATACATTGTTGTGTTTGGTTTTTGCAGTAACTCTATGGGTCACATTTGATTATCACCATTTCAGAGATAGGGAACTGTCACAACTGGACAAGAGCTCAAATATTCTGGCTTCAGATTATTTACCAATTCACATTCACTGCTCCTTCCCCTATACTACATTAACTTTTTATAATAGACCTACATTTGTTATGTTGTCTTTTTTTCATGAAAAATTAGTGGCTTTCCTGGGGCCTTGCAATCACTCATGTTAATATCAGTATTAAAGTTATAGATCTCTTAATTGTATGTCGTGAATAAGTCTAGTTATCATCTGTCACAATACAAAGTTATTACAATATTTTGACTGTATTCCCTATGGTATATATTACATGCCTATTACTAATTTATTTTATAACTGGAAGTTTAAATCCTGTCACCTGTTTTGCCTGCCTTCACCTGTCCCTTCTCTGGTAATTAACATTCTGTTTCTTATATCAGTGAGTCTGTTTCTGTTTTCTCTTGTTTGTTCATTTGTTTTTTAGATTTCACATATAAATGAAATTATATGGTATTTGTCTTTCTTTGTCTGACTTATTTCACTTAGCATAATACCCTGTAGGTCCATTCATCAGGTTTTTTTTAATACTAAGTTGTATAAGTTCTTTATGTATTTTATATATTAACTAGTTATCAGTTGTTTGATGTGCAAATATCTTTTCCCATTCAGTAGGTTGCCTTTTCATTTTCTCAGGTCTCCTTAGCTGTGCAAAAACTTTTCAGTTTGATGTAAATTCATTTATTAATTTTTTAATAATAATACTTATATTAATAATAATTATAATAATATAACTATTAAAGCTTTTGCCCTTGCTTGCTGAGACTATTCTAAAATAATATTGCCAATACCAGTGCCAAAGAGCTTACCATCTATGTTTTCTTCTAGGAGTTTCATGGTTTCAGGTCTTAGGGTGAAGTCTAATCCATTTTGAATTTATGTCTGTATATGGGATAAGATGGTGATCAAGTTCATTCTTTCACATGTATTTGTCCAGTTTCCCCAGGACCATTTATTGAAGAGATTGTACTTTCCCTATTGTATGTTCTTTCCTCCTTTATCATAGATTAATTGACCATATATGTGTGAGTTTATTTCTGGGCTCTCTTTTCCTCTTCATTGATCTTGTGTGTCTGTTTTCATACCAGGACCAAACTTTTATGATTATTATAGCTTTGAAGTATATCTGAAATCTGGAGGAATGACCTCCAGCTTGGTTTTTTTTCCCCCCAAAATTGCTTTGGCTACTTGGGGTCCTTTGTGGTTCCATTCAAATTTTAGGATTCTTTGTTCCAGTTTTGTGGAAACTGTCATTGGTATTTTGATGAGGATTGCATTAAATGTGTAGATTGCTTTGTGTAGTATGAACATTTTAATGATATTAATTCTCCCAGTCTATGGCATTGAGATGTCTTTCCATTTATTTTTGTCCCAGTTTCTTTCATCAGTGCCTTACAGTCTTTGGAGTACAGGTCTTTCACCTCCTTCGTTAAATTTATTCCTGGGTGTTTATTCTTTTTGATGTAATTGTAAATGGGATTGTTTGCTTAATTTCTCTTTCTGATAGCTTATTATTAGTGTATAGGACTGCAGCCAGTTTCTTTTTTTAATCAATTTATTTATTTATTCATTCATTTAAGACTGTTATATTAGTTTCAGGTGTACAGTTTGGCAATTCACCACTTCCATACATTGCCCAGTGCTCATCAGAAAAAATGCACTCCTTAATCCCATCATATATTTAACCCAACCCCCTTCCCCTCTCCCCACTGGTAACCATCAGTTTGTTCTCTATGGTTAAGGGTCTATTTCTTGATTTCTCTCTCTCTCTCTCTGTCTTTCTCTTTCCCTCTTTTTCCCTTTGAAACACAGCCGATTTCTATGTTATGTTATGTATGTTAATTTTGTATCTTGAGGCTTTACCGAATTCGTATATTAGTTGTAATAGTTTTTTGATGATCTCTTTGTTTTTTTATGTGTAGTACTCTGTTATCTGTAAATAGTGATAGACTTACTTCTTTCTTCCTAATTATGGATGTCTTTATTTCCTTTTCTTACCTAATTGCTGTAGCTAGGACTTCCAATAAAATAAAAGTGGTGGTGAGAGTGGGCATCTTTGTCTTGTTCCTAATCTTACAGGGAAAGCTGTCACCTTTTCACCTCTATTGTTTGTTGTGCAGAAGCTCTTTCAGTCAGCTGTCAGTTCTTTAGGAGGAATTGCTTTATGTGTAGATATAGTTTCCGTGTATCCATGGGTAGAAGTGATCATGATCTTCCTGTGCTACCATCTTGGACTGTCTCCCTGCTTTACTTTTCATTTCTGATTTTACTGCAGATTATAGTTGAAAAGTGAAATGTATCATGCCCGAGACTTTCTTTATAAGTCTCCTACTTGCTTCCCAGTTCATATCAAAGTGATGCTTCCTTTCCATCAGTCTTATTCTTCTGGGAAGTACCAAGGGTCTCTTGGATCAATCAATATAGCTGATCTTTTCAAATTAGATTACTTCTATCTTAGTGAGTTTGGGTAAAAAATGGTTTAAGCCAAAGGAAAATGTGGAATTGTCTCATTTTCTCAGGGAATTATAGTAAATTGAATGTCAGGTACCTAAATTACTGGTATTGAGTGATAACTGTTTCCCATTCTAGTATATTTTTTATTCACCTTTCAAGTTATATTCTCAGGTATGTGTTACTAGGAAATAGAGATAGTATAAATGCTTCGTTTGTTTCATAAAAGATATTTAAGGAGGTCTGCACCTTTGCAAAGTTTCCCTTAGGGTTCTGATAAACTGTCAAATCTGATATTTGGTATTTATGGTATGGACAGATTTAATCCTTTATGGCTTTGTCTTTTTTAGACTTACCTCTCTCTCTGCCATATTTACTTGCATATAACTTCCCTCACAGGTTCTCTGGAGTTAGAATTTTTGTGTAATAAATTGTACAGCTCCTCCATGTTATCTCATCCCTAGTGGGTTAACCCTTCCTTTCCTTTCCTTTTCCCTTTCTTTCCTTTTTTCCTTTTCCTTTTTCCTTTCCCTTTTTTCCTTTTTGCTTTCCTTTCCTTTCTTTCTTGAAGGGCATTATAGCTCTCTCATGGCTGCATCAGAACAAATTAAGAGCTGGAAATGACCCTATTTGATCAAGTAGGGGCATGTAAAAGGTATTAAAAAGTGATTAAATACTTTGTCCACCCAGACTCTAATAAACTTCTAGAAATGAACTCTGAAGTATTATTTATAAGAATACATGACTGTACTTTGTGGTTAGTCATTTTCTGTATTTTTGTAGCAAACAGAAAAAAGAATACTACATTTTATTCTTGGTAAAATTACAGTTGCTTTAGCTACTTTTTTCCCAAGATCTCTAATAAGTTCAGAAGAGGACTAGATAGGAATTTTTGCTGTCATATCATTTGTTTCCTTCCTTGATCATATTATGTTCAATATTTTTTATCATTAACTTGGATAAAAAACAAACATGTTTGCATTCATATTAAACCCTGAACTTGGAGGAATATCTTCTATTAGGCATAACTGAAACAAGATATGAAAGAGCTGAAGTCCAAAAGATAAATGTGGTATCATTAATGTACAACCCTGAGTTTAGATTTAAAAGATCTATCATATAAGCATAGATTTAAAAGGGTTTTACATGAAAAAAGAAATAAAAAGCATAGATGTCTTAATTGACCACAAGCTTAGGATAAGCTGATAGTGTGACAGACTTGCTAAAAATGTTTGTAGAACTTAGCAGAACAAGATCGTGATAGTACTGATAAACCATATTCTGCTTATGCCATGCCTAGAGGGCCATGTTCAGATGGGGATGCTTTGGGATGGACATTGATTTACTAGCTCACAGGAAATTAACTATTTGATAGGGGGGTCATTGATGGAACTGACCATCATTTTGAAGAGAGAGAGGGGTCTGAATGAA